CCCGATTCCAACTGACGTCCCATGAGTGAGACCGCATGGATATGATATACCCGCTATGAGTGTTTTAAGGTTACTGGGTCACATTAACAGGCGGAGACACCTTAAACTTGATCTGTACTGATCATGACCAAGGGACTACATATTAACTACGTAGTAAGTGAAGGTTTACTATGAAGAGTGGTTATCTCACTGCCAACAGAATCCAGTAAGACGTCGTTTTACTTATAAAAGACACATATATCATTAATTATCTCAACTAGAACACTGACAGGTCAGTAAGGGCCCCGTCTTTGGCAATATATCCCCCATAATCATCAAGAAGCAATCTGCCCATATAGCTGAGCTTGACGTTTGACATTTGGACTTCAAAAAGAATCGCAAGGAGGCAAAATATACATTTTACATGTACTATGATGTGAGTCTTGTTTCCTTCCACCTCCATATTTGCTGGGCTAACAGAAATGTAAATACCGGTGCAATACTCATTTGTTAGCTTTGATTTGTTTTATTTCACCTTATATACCTCCTCCATCAAGAGCCAGGGTCAAAGTCAGAGATCCACTTTGTCTTTGACCTTTGGACCCAAATGACCTTGACCATTAACCCAGTGACCCTGAACTTTGGTCAGTTGACTTATTCTTTAATTCCGACCAACTTTGCTTCTTGATATCATAACAAAATGTTCATCAGTGAAAAATACAAAACTTGACCTTGACCCTTTGGACCCCGTAACCTGGACCTAAGGTCAGTTGACTCTGTGTTAAGTTCTGAACAACATTGCTTCATAATGTCATAACAAAATGTTCATCAGGGAAAAGGTACAAAATTTAACCTTCACCTTTGACCCAGTGACCTTGACCTTTGGTCAATTGACTCCTTGTTTAATTCTGAGCAACATTGCTTCAAAGTGTCATAGCGAAATGTTCACCAGTGAAAAGATACAAAATTTAACCTTGACCTTTGACCCAATGACCTTGACCTTTGGTCAGTTGACTCCTTGTTTAATTCTGATCAACTTTGCTTCATCATGTCATAACAAAATGTTTATCAGTGAAAAGATGCAAATTTGACCTTGACCTTTGAATCTAATGACCTTGACCTTTGACCTCGACTTTTTACCTCAGTGTGTCTCTTTGTTTGATTCCAAACAACTTCGCTTCATAATGTCATAGCGAAATGTTCACCAGTGAAAAGCTACAAAATTTGACCTTGACCCCTGACCCGATGACCTTGACCTTTGGTCAGTTGACTCTTTGTTTAATTCTGATCAACTTTGCTTCATGATGTCATAACAAAATGTTCATCAGTGAAAAGATGTAAAATTTGACCTTGACCTTTGAACCTAATGACCTTGACCTTTGACCTTGATTTTTTACCTCAATGTGTATTTTTGTGAACTGAACATCTTGACCAAGTTTCATGTACATCGGTCAATAAATACTAAAGTTATCAGCCTGGTACAGAATTTGTGGACAGACAGACAGACAGACAGAGTGATTACTATAGGGCACCCGTATCTCCGATACCGGGCCCTAATAATAACGTTCATTTTTCATAAATCACAACACCAGCTAATTCGTCCTTAATAAACCATCACCAACAGTTCCTTCCCTGATGATTTTTGACAACAAATCCTTTTGTAATAATATACAACAAAGACAGAACCACTAAATCCTTCTCTAATGATAGAAAAACAAACTAATTATTCTCTTATGAGACATTACCAACAAATCCTTCTAAATTACAAACAAAACAGACAAAAAGGAGGGGTGCCTATTTGGGCCTTCTGGTGGCTATAACCGACAGTTCAAAAGAATTTATAGCACTTGAAAAGTCAGTTAACAAATAGCACGTCTTACTACAAACTCTAAATAGATGATCCTAATGAATTTAGGCACACAAAAAAAGAAAGAATTATTGACATAATAGAGCCAATATATAACAAGGTCACAGTGACCAATCCGTAGAGCCTGTGTTTTGTTTGTTTGTTTGTTTACTTGTTTTAATATTAATCAAAATCTAAATCTAAAACAAATCACCTAAAATAGAAATCAAATCATTCGGATCATCTATTTTTAGTTTGTAGTAAGACGTGTTATTTATAAACTGACTTTTCAAGTGCTATAAATTATTTTGAACTGTAATATAAGGAAATATATCTATTGCTTACCTCAGTAATTCAAAACAGGTGATAAGTATATGGACTAGCCGTGTCGCTCTGCCTTCACCTCGCATTATATAAAAATATTTATAACCCAATGTTTTTAACAAAGTATTTTCCCTGTTTGATTCACTTATCAGAGTATCATTATGTCATTCGTTTTTAAATACAAAAATAAAACTTATCTCATAATCAACGATTAGGTAGAGTAACCGACATTCAAACGTTAGATAAATAAAAAATAGTTTTAAAAAATATATAAAGCGCAGATGGTAAACTATTTCATACGCAGGAGGGCAGCGGGGACTACACTAAGGACATAGTTCCGTGGATCACAGCTGCTGCGACAGCCTGTCCGCATCTGAAGAGCTGTCCGACCTCAGAGCGTGACCTGTATGGGTAGGACTTAGAATCTCCGAGAGCCCGGTAACGGTCAACTTATACAGCATAGTGCGTTATCGGTCACTCCATCAGAGCATTCTCGACTTTTGTAAATTATACCATGGTCAATGACGTCAAATGCAGCTGACCAAGGTTGTAAAAAGGGCTATTTGCATTTAAATTTAGCTCTAAACACCGGAACACAATCTTTTCCAAGATCTTAGACAGAAAAGATATTTGATACTAGGCGGTAGTTCTACTCTTCCTTGTCCATTCCAGGTTTCCAGCAGTGGTATAACTTGTGCCGTCTTAACACACAACTGAAACTTTGACTCAGCCAATGAATTGTTCAGCAGTGCTTCTATGCATTGCTGAGGTAGGTGTGTGAAGCGGATCCAGCTCACAGGAATTGAATTGCGAGGGTCATGATGATATTGCGCAACTCGTCCTGGGTTGTTGGTGAGAGCTTCGTCAATGGTTCCCCATCAAATTCAATATCAGCAGTCATGACAGATATATCATTGTCAGCATTAGAGTTCACTTCGCCAATATTTTTCCTGGTCAGACTGATTTTATTCAGAAAGTAATCACAAACCTTGTTGGACAATTGATTGAATGATAAATGAACTTACTAGCCGGCACTATTCCCTATAAATCTGTTGGTGAACGGTGAATTTAGCCCTTCTTCCACAGATTTTCCGCTTTTCTGCGGTTGTGTTTTTCCACGGGGAGATTTTCATTATACCATGGGGCATTTAGTCTCACGGTATTCACATTAGTCTGTAGTGGTAAATAAGTTTCTATTAGCGCTTCTATACCAGATATGTATACTTCAACAAGATCATCAACTCCACCGATAGAAGACTGAATGTTAATGATGAAATTTAGTATGTACATTTAGTGGAATTTTCGAAAGCTGACCTCCTTCCTTGCATGATCTGGCTTGCTACAATTCATTGTTGCTTGGACAGCGAGGTGATCACCAATTAATTCCCCTGAACTGAGACATGGATTTATCACTAAAATTGCTCCACGGATGACCGAGCCCTCTTCCTATATAATGACCACATCTAGTGTGTGGCCATGGGTGTGTGTAGCTTGTCACAAGTTGTATCAGACCCAGAGGATCAAGTAACCCATAGAACTGACATCAACATAAGATCATCTTAGTGGAAAGTCACCCGTGATAATAATATCTCGTGGTACAATAACCTGTTGGTCTTAAAAGGTAGACCACTCATAAAAAACCCACAATATTTTGGAACCGTTTTGTTAAGATAGAGGAGGCCTGTAAATGTTACACATTCTGAATCATGTGCTCAAGTCTGTGTTAAATGAGCATGGTTGGAAGAGAGATGTCTCACACTTTCTTAAATAGAACAGCACCCGAACCACCACGTCTGTTGAGTCTGGTATTGTGGAGGAATTCATAACCAGTTGGTACTAGATCAGCTACATGTAGTACCTGGTCATCAATATGTAAATCTAACCATGCTTCTGTTAACTGAAGAATACCAATGTCCTAAGATGTTACAAAGCATCAGATCGACTTATTCTTCACCGAGCGACAGTTCAATGACACTAAATGCAGAGGTAAAACAGATTTACACTGACCGGCTTGTTGACATGTAGATTCTCGTACGATATTGATGGCGTCCGAAACGATGACGCAACGTGAATGCAAAATATTGTTGATGCCTGATACTTCTGTTGCTACAGTTTATCCATGCAAGAGTGTGTCCGACGCGGCCAGACCATCCGTGTTGACCAGGACCGATTTTGTGTATCGCATTCCTAACAGTTGAACCGGTTGGACGAGACTTGTTCGTTTATGAAATAAGGTCGGACCTAGTAATATAATGCTGCTTTCATATGAGCCTTGACAAAGCCTTACAAGGCCATAAACACTTTCAGATCCGCTATGTTTTTTTTAAGCCCGAAACTGTTACTTTAAAAAACAGACGAACAAGCCTCACGAACAAGCCTCAGCTGGACGAGATTATCAATGTTCAAACCATAGTGGTTACTGATACTGGTACCGTTGGACGGACGTAACACTGATTACACGTGGTATTCGCCTGACAGCACACTTACCCACCAGTGTCCAACGCCTTGAGCGAAAGTTTACTGATATCATGACCCACTGGTCTTAGCGCTAGCAGAACACATCTACTATACTTTTACATAACTGACCATGATACCCTCCTTTTGAAAACTTGTTATCAAAGCCTTTCAAAGTTAGCGAGAATAAACTTTCTTCGTGAGCTTGAATGTTTTTTCTTGCAATGATGAAGATTCAAACAAGTAACTTTGTATTCCACATTAATGTACAAAGACGTTTAGGTACAACACATGGAATAAATAAACATTAATCGACACGCTAAGACTTCGTATGAAGTTACAGAAATGGAATGAAGAATTCCAAGTTACTAAGACACTGGTATCAGGAGAATATTACCTGACTGATAGACAGCCTTGACGAGATCCAGGAAGCGTTTGTCCCTCCTCCAGTAGTCAGGCGCAAACCCCCCGGGTATGATCAGGCCAGCCAAGTCCTACAATACAAGGGCGATTGTCAGGAATATAACACATATCTTTTGTCTCTCTAAAATAATAACACACATTTTTTCCATCTAAAAAACACATATTATTTCACAATCCAATACTTCAGACACATTATTAGACTGTCTAAATGATCCGACACATTGTTTAATTAAAATTGTCATCTACATTATTTATCTTGTCTAAAATGATCACAATCATTATTTCCTTGGAAAAATAATAATAGCACCTTTTTTAACTGAAGTTATTTTACATCACCGAGACACTATCTCTAACTCTACAGAAGAAAGTTTGGTCTACCAATAATCACAATTATATGCACAAGTTATACTCAGATTCTGTTTTGTTCCTGTAATTTCTCATTAAATGAATATTTACAATTTTTCAGATATTGAATTACTTTATCACGTAGTAGACATTATCACTCGTACATTGCATTTGTCACTGTCCTTACCTCCGCATTTACATTGTCGATGCCTTCCTCAGCCTTACAAGGGTAGCCATGCTTGGAGTTGTACGTCTTCCCTTTCTCTGGCCCTATTGTGAACGTATCATAACCCTCCTCTCGTAGCCGGTAGTACGGGTACCACAACTGAAGAGAAACGGAGATCATGAGAGTACAACTGAAGCCTTTAGTACGGGTACCACAACTGTAGAGAAACGGACATGATGAGAGTACAACTGTAGCCTGTAGTACGGGTACCACAACTGAAGAGAAACGGAGATCATGAGAGTACAACTGTAGCCTGTAGCCTGTAGTACGGGTACCACACCTGTAGAGAAACGGAGATAATGAGAGTACAACTGTAGCCTCTAGTACGGGTACCACAACTGAAGAGAAACGGAGATCATGAGAGTACAACTGTAGCCTGTAGTACGGTACCACAACTGTAGAGAAACGGAGATAATGAGAGTACAACGGTAGCCGGTAGTACGGGTACCACAACTGAAGAGAAACGGAGATCATGAGAGTACACCTGAAGCCTGTAGTACGGGTACCACACCTGTAGAGAAACGGAGATAATGAGAGTACAGCTGTAGCCGGAAGTACGGTACCACAACTGTAGAAAAACGGAGATCATGAGAGTACAACTGTAGCCTGTAGTACGGTACCACAACTGTAGAGAAACGGAGATAATAAGAGTACAACTGTAGCCGGTAGTACGGGGACCACAACTGTAGAGAAACGGAGATCATGAGGGTCCAACTGTAGCCGGTAGTATGGGTACCACAACTGTAGAGAAACGGACATAGTGAGCGTACAACTGTAGTCGGTAGTACGGGTACCACAGCTGTAGAGAAACGGAGATAATGAGAGTACAACGGTAGCCGGTAGTACGGGTACCACAACTGTAGAGCAACGGGGATAATGAGAGTACAACTGTAGCCGTTAGTACGGGTACCACAACTGTAGAGCAACGGGGATAATGAGAGTACAACTGTAGCCGTTAGTACGGGTACCACAACTGTAGAGCAACGGGGATAATGAGAGTACAACTGTAGCCGGTAGTCCGGGTACCACAACTGTAGAGAAACGAACATAGTGTGAGTACAACTGTAGCTTGTAGTACGGGTACCACAACTGTAGAGCAACGGGGATAATGAGAGTACAACTGTAGCCGGTCGTACGGGTACCACAACTGTAGAGAAAAGGAGATAATGAGAGTACAACTGTAGCCTCTAGTACGGGTACCACAACTGAAGAGAAACGGAGATCATGAGAGTACACCTGAAGCCTGTAGTACGGGTACCACACCTGTAGAGAAACGGAGATAATGAGAGTACAAATGTAGCCTGTAGTACGGGTACAACAACTGTAGAGAAACGAACATAGTGAGCGTACAACTGTAGTCGGTAGTACGGGTACCACAGCTGTAGAGAAACGGAGATAATGAGAGTACAAATGTAGCCTGTAGTACGGGTACAACAACTGTAGAGAAACGAACATAGTGAGCGTACAACTGTAGTCGGTAGTACGGGTACCACAGCTGTAGAGAAACGGAGATAATGAGAGTACAAATGTAGCCTGTAGTACGGGGACCACAACTGTAGAGAAACGAACATAGTGAGCGTACAACTGTAGTCGGTAGTACGGGTACCACAGCTGTAGAGAAACGGAGATAATGAGAGTACAAATGTAGCCTGTAGTACGGGTACAACAACTGTAGAGAAACGAACATAGTGTGAGTACATCTGTAGCTGGTAGTACGGGTACCACAACTGTAGAGAAAAGGAGATAATGAGAGTACAACTGTAGCCTGTAGTACGGTACCACAACTGTAGAGAAACGGACATGATGAGAGTACAACTGTAGCCGGTAGTCCGGGTACCACAACTGTAGAGAAACGGAGATAATGAGAGTACAAATGTAGCCTGTAGTACGGGTACCACAACTGTAGAGAAACGAACATAGTGAGCGTACAACTGTAGTCGGTAGTACGGGTACCACAACTGTAGAGAAACGGAGATCATGAGAGTACCACTGTAGCCTTTAGAACGGGTACCACAACTGTAGAGAAACGGACATGATGAGAGAACAACTGTAGCCGGTAGTACGGGTATCACAACTGTAGAGAAACGGAGATAATGAGAGTACAACTGTAGCCGGTAGTACGGGGATCACAACTGTAGAGAAACGGAGATCATGAGAGTACAACTGTAGCCTTTAGTACGGGTACCACAAATGAAGAGAAACGGAGAAGATGAGAGTACACTTGTAGTCTGTAGTACGGGTACCACAACACAAAAATGAAAAGGCCAAACAAAGCAAACACTTTTCTGCACAATCCACGTACGTCTCTCTGTCCATTTTTGCCTTAAAGGTGGCTCTAAAAGTCAAAAGAATGAAAATTGATGTTTAAGTGTCGTGAAATATATGTAGAAATATGGCAAAATGGGAAGATTGCCTGTAAGGTGGTAACGAGACAACAGCTTCCATATTGTGAGTATATTCCAAGCTAAACTAAAACTTTAGAATGTGAATGTTTAAAGATTACCAAAGAAAGCCTGTGAATATTTACGGGGGAAAAAAACCAAGTTTTGGTATATTGAAGTTATCAATGTTGTCATCTTCACATCATGCTTAAAATCTTCGTAAAAATGCTCTGTTCATTGTCTTGATTCTGATCTCACAAAAGGGTGATATTACATGAGCATATCTACACAAATCAATGGCATGATTTATTTACTTATCAAACAAAACATGCATCGTTATCAAAACATGATATGTGGAATAAGACAGCATACTGTGAACACAACAGGGGGATCGTCTGTTCCAATGTCCTAGCTGTTCTAATGTATGGCTGCAAAACACACTGAGAATTACAATGGGAGAAAGTGGGACCTAGTAGGTTCATCACTTCATTAGACTTTTGTTGAATTCTGGTTAACGTAAGACATTAAAGGTGTCACGAAAAGGCTCTCAGTTTAATAGCAAGGGGTCGTATTGACTTTGTCAGGATCTTACAACAAAGAAATATCACCATTTGAGAACATCAACGACATGAGCATCAGAGAGAGAAAGTGAATAGTATGTATGTAACAAATACAACAGTAAGGGAGATAACTTCCAATACTTGATTGACTGTATGGGCAAATATATAGAGGATATTTAATGTTGTCTTCAGCATTGAATTTTCTATTTATTAACATGGAAAATGTAATGCATTTAAAAAGGGCGGGAATCAGAAGCGTAATTATTAGCACCATATTCGAATGTGAAAGATATCAGTTTTATCAAGTTGATAGAATCCTATATTTCACTGGCAAAAATGTAATAAAATAAAATATGACACATACTCATGTGTACACGATTGTTACCACGTGGATACGAGGTCAGGTTAATATTTGTAATACCACCTATCACTTATTTCAATTAAAGTTTAAAACGTGTTCCATTCTTAATACTGTTTAAAAAAAAGTTCCATCGGCAGTAGCAATGTAGACGGGGCTAAAACTGAAACAATAATTTAAAAGTTCTTATAACCAAAAAATATTGTATCAGAGAATGGGTTTTTGGTGTATATAAGGATAGGTGCTTTAAATATCATTTCTGTGCATATACATAGTTACTGACACTCAATATGAATGAAATAGTTCACATAAGTGATCACGGTAAAAAAGCATTCCAATAATATAGATCATCAGTCGTTCGGCAATTTTACTGGATATGGATCTAAATTTCATTTTATATACAACTAAACACGCAAGAACAGTTTAACCTGTTTATTACTACAGTTATAATACATACAAGCTACAAGTTTGGCGTATCAGGGGCTACTCACTCTATACCAAAACGATTAAACTTACTAATAGGATATTTAAAATTTAAAGAATCTGGACTCTGAGGTGTCCCAGAGTAGCTAGCTACATGATCGAGCAAGACTCCAAAGATACAGAGAAGCAACTAGACCCTGGACGATTCCAGAGAAGCTACTAGACTCTGCGAGCGACCCTGGAGAAGCTGCATGAGAAATGGAATATTCAACGACTACGGCTAGACCCTCAACGATATGAGAGAAGCTGAATATGTTAGCTAGACCCTCAACGATATGAGAGAAGCTGAAACATACTGTCGTAAAATACTACATGTATAATATTATTATAAGATTGGGGGTAGAATTCCCCAAGAATTAAATGCCAAAATT